ATTGTTCTAAAATATTAGTAAAAATATAATATTATTACAAAATAAAGAATCTCGAAAAAAAACTATCTATAAAAGCAACTAAACTATGAATATATCTATAGTCTATCGCATTCTGTAGTACATAGCATTAATCTTTTAGAATATGAGTTAAAATTTCAAATACTTTTTTTTTGTAATGATTATATTATTTTATTGTCCTTTCATTTAAATCGCTTGTAAGTTCAAATAAACATAACAACATCACTTGACTTTAAATTAATGAGAAATTATTTTAATCGTCATATTGTATTCTAAAATATTCTATCAATATTCTAACTTACTTAAATGACGTTGTTATGTCAGTCGAAGGTGATAATCTATTTGATAGAATATACAACTAATAAAATCAATCAATATGAATAAGAATATTTTTTACATAGTTGTTTCATCCATAAGTTGTGATTTGAAACAAACTATTGTTCGACGAGTATTTTTTTCTTCACCAACAGAAAAACTGAATAGATCTGAATAATTTTGATCGCGAAGTCGATGGACTAGCAATCGATGTCGCGATGATAATGATGGAAAAAGAAGAATACTATAATAAAACAAAAATAATTATAAATAATCTTCAATAATATATTATTCAATATAAAAAGGAAAAAGACACACACAAGGACGAATCATTCGATAATTTGTATTTGTCTAATTCATCAGTAATTAAATCAAGAAATTTGTCATCATCCGATGTTAAATAACAACCAAACATTTTCTTTGAATAATTATCTAAAAAGTTTAATATTCTTGTTTTTTAATTTGATAAGAATAGGTTTTTTTTTCTTTAATTTTTACAAAAAGAAAAAATAATTTGACAAAAAAACATCTACATACAATTGATGAATACACAACAGGTAAAAACAAAACACAAAACGTTAGCTCTAATATGACAAAAACAAACAGAAAAAGCTTTGATTTTCATCCCGTTACACTGTTCATCATACAATCTGACTTGCACACACATACAACGATGAAAAATCAAACTATAAAATATATGTATAATTTTTGTTAAGATTAATTTATCTAACTTGTATCACTAACAAAAAAATTCCAAATAGGTTTTAACAACCTGAGTTAAAAATAAAAAATAGATGAGAGTATCTACAGCAAAACAAAGATCAGGATTATTTATTGTTAGTAGATTAGAAGAATAAAAGTAGATTGAGATAGATCAGACTAAAGTTAGATATCCATACTAAAATTAAAATAAAGAAATATAATTTTTATAAAAAAACGAGATTATCATCACTGTTAAATATTGTCGTTCAAAACTATTCAATGCTCAAGCTAGATAAAATATATTAGGAAGCAGAATACAGGCTTTCAAGATTGATTCTAGATGCAGTCAAGTAAATATACCCGGAAAATCCTTGAATCTACATCGTGCGCGCCCGCACGGGGGGGATTTTTTAAAAACTGCATTTTTCGGGGAAATTTTGGGGAATTTTTGAAAAAGTTTTTTCGAGGAGGGGAGACTTTTTGATTTATGGGAAGATTCTGCACCTCTGACTTACATACTCGACACTGAGTCCGTGTATTAGGTAATTTCGAGACCTGAATGTATATCATTCGAACTCAATACATAACTTAGTAAAATCTTTTCGGAATAGCTTGCAGTTCATATTTTCTTTATTCATTCTTTCTTTGATTACTATAAAAATTATACAAACATACATGGATTGTTTAGAATATTTTCCAACATTTGATGTTGTATCTTTACGCGTAGAAAATTTTCGAGCTAATTGGTTAAATTTTTCCATTGAACCTATCGATGAAAAATACAAAACTTATGTATATATGTATATATATTTTTCTTCTACTTTTTCCCATATTTCTTAATCGAGCAATAAATTCTTCATTACTTTCTGATTTTAATGATTCAGAATCAGGAACAAATGGTGCATGTGGTAATGGAATTCGTTCTTTATCATCTAATAGAATAGAAATGAATTAAATACAATATTTTTATTGAATTAAAATACCTTTTCCATAAGAATATCCTTCATTTTGAGTGATAGATTCTTGCGGAACCATTGATGCTAAAATAAAACATATTTGTTTAATAATGACATAATATATCTATTTACTTCTCATTGTTTGTCCTTGTTCAATTTGTGTGAGAACATTCTGAAGCATTCTTGCACGAACTTTTGGTGTTTTAGATGTTTCAATTGTTGGTGGTGTAGGTAATGGTAATGGTTTTGTACTTAATAGATTCGTTGTTCGACGTGATTGATTTGTGGAAGATTGAATAGGTTGATCTGAAATGTTTTTGTTCTATTGTTTATTTCAAAGAAAAAAAAAATATCTAAAATCAAACCTGAATGAAGTGTTGTTATAAAATCTTTATTATGACGAAGTTCGTTTAAAAATTCTTCATCTTGAAAAAGTATAGCTAAACGTTCATCTTCAAGATATTGTGATGTATTACTCTTTTCTCCAGATATAGTTTTCTAATTGTTAGTAGAAAAATTGTTTAGATAAATTTTTAAAAATATATTTTATACTTTTAATTCAGATTTTGATAAAAATTTTAATCGAAGAAAATCGTCAGTTAAATCTCCAATATAACACATGCGATATTGACCATCAGTATTTAGCCATTGCCGAATTTGTAGATCTTGTTGAAAATAAGCACTAATTAAAATCATAAGATCTATATGGAAAAAAAAATGAAATTATGACATACTTTTCCGACATATGTGCATTGTTTGATTGGTTATTATTATTTCCTGTTGATGATGATGAACGTTGAGGAAGAGAAGACATGGTTGTTGTATGATTATTAGCTGTTGTTTCATGACCAGGATCTACAATAAAAAAAATTTTGTTCATATTAATATTTCGAAGAAGAAAAAATTTTTTTACAAGGTGGTGGATCATCATCATATATATTCGGAACAACTGGTAATTGTCGAAGTGGTATCGTTGGTAGTGCCTATAACATATGATTTATTGTAGAGAAAAAAAAATTTTGTTTTTACTTGTTGAATATTATTTTGATTTTCAGTATCAATTGCCATTGTAAGTAAATGATCAATAGTAACATCAACTTGACCATTATTAGCAGTTAAAACACTTTCGATTACAGTTGCATCTAAGTTAGAAAACATTCGACGTAATTCAGCTATTGTAGCTGATCTTGATGATGATGTAGCCATTTTGTTTAATAAAAAATTTTTTTCTTTTTTTTGTTCAATGTTAAATAAATCTTTACTTTTGCTTTCCTTCTCTTTCCTTTTGAAAGGCGGTTTTCATCATATTTGCTTAATACGCAGCAGGTTTATCGACCTCTAAAGGAGTTGGCTAAAAATATAAGCCAATCTGAATAAATTTATATATATCTGGAGAATTAGCGCTACTTGGAAATGAACATTTCCATAGCTAATAGCGACATTCTATTGAGTAATATAGCACGAGATCCTAGGAGAATCGATCGATCACGTCGAATGGTTCTATGTATTATTTATTTATCTTGTTTTTTTTTCTTCTTCTTCTTCTATTATTGACTTTTTTTACGGGAAAGGTTATCTATAAATAATCTTCTTTTTTTTTATTATTATTCGTTTTCTCAAATAACATCTTCTTATCTTTTATTTTTTAGATCTAATGGCAACTCGAGCGGCTGCATGTAAATATAAATAAAATTAAATCTATTATTCTATTGTTTTATTTCTAGTTTCATCTAAAATTCGAGCATTAAATGATTTTTATAATAATATTGCGACTGGTGTAACACCACTACCTAGTGGATATGATATTGCTAATGCTGTTAAATATTTCTCTCAAGCTCTTTTGGGGTAGAAAAATAAATAAATAAAAAAAAACAACAATAATTTTTTTTTCTTATTATTATTTAGAGTCTTGAAAGAAATGACAATTGAATCAAATCAAGAACAATCAACTGGTAAACATTCATATCGTATTAGTAAATATCCAACATTGAATTATTCATCTTTATATCATTCATTGATTAATCTAATCGATGTGGTACCATTAATACAAACTGGCGATGTTGCATTAGCACAATCAATTATCCATGCACTTGCTTGTTTAGCACCATTTTTACCTTATGAATTACTTGATGCATTACCATATACATTTGCAACAACATTAACTATATTTCCATTTGATGTTCATAAAGAAACACTTGATATGTTATGTAATACACTTTTACCGATTAATATGGGTAAGCGAAAAAAACATTTTTCTTTTTTTTTGCCTTGAATTGATTTTCTAATATTACTTTTAGCTTATACGGAATATCCTGAACATTCAATGACATTGACTTCAATAGCATCAATTCTTTTTATTGTTTTTGAAAATATTGATAATGCCGGTAAGAACAAAAAAAAACAACTTTTGTTTTTCTGAATAAATAAGATTTAAAAGAAAAATACTTTGGAAAGATAATAATTAAAATAAATTACTCATTTCCAGTATATCATGCTCAAATTATGGAATGTTTATTAAGTTTAAAAGCGGATTTAATTTATGTGAGTTTTTATTTTTGGTATAGTAAATATTAATGTTGTATTCATTACGCATGATGCTATTGTATGTTTGGATATGTGTATTTATAAGCTTTTGATGAAAGCATATGAAATTCTATGAATTCACATCGATTTCGATCCGATGCCAGAATGAAATTATATCTTTCCCAACTAAAGAATATAAAGTAAATTACGTATTAATCTTATCGTATAGTTGCGAAAAAGAAGGAACCTTGTTCTATATATTTCCTTTATTCATATAGTAACTATCTATATGTAAGAGAAATAATTTAGTAGCAGATTTAAAGAGCTTTGAAATGCAATTTTGTTTTTGTCTATGATCACTATTTGTTTTTTTTATGAACTTATCTATATTTTTATGCACGTTGTATATGTATATATATCATATTGTAAAAAGAATATTAAATAATGAAATTTTTTCGAAAAAAAATCTTAAAATTGAATATTTAGGATATTCTCTTTGTCATTGCACATGGAGCTGCATCAGCTAGAGCTGCTGCATCGAATTTACTTTTTTTCTATTGGCCTATGTTAAATCCGACTGGAGTTGATCGACGTTCCATACATTTTAAATTTATTCGTAAGTTATTATTATTATTTTTATTATCGATAACAGAATAAAATAAATTAATTAAATTTAGCTCGAAAACCAATCATATGTCAAACAGAACGATGTTTAGAACGAAGAAATATAGCATCAAAAGTTTGTGTTAATATACTTTTATCAATACATGGTCATGATACACCACCTCCATTATATATGTGTACTGATTGTTATAAAAATTCTTCCAAAGATATTCAAAAATATTGTCGTAATGTTCTTTGTCCTGTATCAGAAATTGATTTACATTGTCAAAATAAAGTAAATATTTTCTAAACCTGATTAAAAACAAAAACAACTCTTTTTTTTCGTCGATTAATTTAGTTATGTATCTCAGAAAAAAAGATAACACACGCTGTTTGTTATTCAATTGAATGTTGTTTATCAAATGGTAATCATCCGATCAGTTTATGTCGACAATGTCATGAACGACGACATATTGATTCAAATCATGTTTATCAAGAAACATTAATTGATATGTGGCGTTTATCTGCTGATGTACAAAATCATTGTGTTGAAGCTATAATTAGTCTTTTACGTGAAACTGATAATACAGAAGAAAAACGTATTGTTGATTCAATGAGTGATGAAAAAAAATCGATTCTTGTTGAAAATATTGATAATACAACAAATATGTTTTTAAGTTTGGATATTGATGTTGGAAGAAAATTATTAAGTCGATATGGAAT